TTCCGTCTCCATCGGTCAGCTTGCCATGTTGCAAGAGATCAAACAACGCATATCCGCCCGAACACTTCCTCAGAAATCAATGACTCGCACACCAATGACTTCCTCTGTCACCTGTTAGAGGTATCCCCGTACATCAAATCCGGGACCTTCGCTAAGGTGGGGTGCTTGAACTGCTGCCCGCATGGCTCTCACGTGTTGATCAAAACAACATACTGTACTGTAACATGTACCTTACTTACCTCATCGTTATTGGTGGAAGATTGCTTAAAAGACCGACGTGAAGCAAACCACATCAGGGTTTCAATATGTTAATCAAAAATACTTGGGAATAAAATTTCCCCCTTTCTCGTACTGTGTATCTGTGCTGCACTAGGGAAATAGGGGAATCAAACGTCCTTGCATGCAATCAAGAGCAGATTCCTTTGTATCTGAATTGTATAACAGTATAGTATTGAAGAAAAATTTTTAAACTGACCTTTTGTCCAGTGTATAAGTATAGGAGACAGCAAGCATGCTTGACCAGCAATGATAAAAGGCATACATTTTATAGCATCAGGTTACTTTTGTTTGCTGCTTCAGCATATTCATTGTAAAGGATAATCAGATTAGATTCAAGTATTTAATGTCATCATGTCGTCTGACGCAAGCATACATGTGAGATTTTCATTTGTAATGTGCATATGTGCTGTGTAATGTGATCGTCCAGCAATAATATTAAGTCACTTATTATGATACAAATTATTGGAAGATGACTATATGATGTTCGCCTTTTCTACATCAATGAAAACTTTCAATAATAATCTTGGTGGGATTATTTATTGCTTTATTTTCCCCCCTGAATGTATTCTGACGTATTATGTCAAGAAGTTCACGACGACAATTTGTATAAGGATAAAACATAATACTTAATACGTTCTTGAAGTATACGTCGATAATCATGACATTAAAAGGTACTACACTTTTCTTAAAGCGTAAGTCCACAAAATCGCATTTCAGTATTTCTTGCAAAGAAATCTTGAAGATATACAGAACATGCACCAAACCATTATAATTTAAAAGTCAAAGTTTTACTTATTGCTGGGGTAAGGAAATTTGGTAAAATAGCTCAAGTCCAATATCATAAAAAGCAGCCTATTACAATACTTCATTCTGAAAAAGCTCAAATTAAATGTTCGCAGTATTTTAAGAGATTGGGTTTGACTACATGTAAAAACCATCAATGGACTCCAACCTTCAGGTTTTTGTCTTGGCGGATCATGCAGTTAAAATTTTAAATACGGGTGTTACAACGAGACAGAATAAATCGTCACTACTTGATACGCGACATATTAGACCTGCCCATAGTATGTCTAGAATTAATGTAACATAAGAAGAAGTCTTGGATAATATCATTAGTTATTTTACACTTTTTAATATGACACGAATAGAACAGCCGGAATTTTACATAGAAGAAGCAGAAACGCAACAATAATAAACTTAAGCAAAATTAATTTTATAAGACACATGCTGATTTCTTGTCCTTGTTTACGTAAAAAAAAGAAGCATCATTCATTAAAATGGTACAGAAACACTGAATTTCCAGTCAGGTCTGGGCAGAGTTGATTGTATCGTGCCAATGTCCTGTAGAATCAATTGTCTAACAAATGTGATGCATCTATCCTGAAATACATTGATTCTTTAAAAAAAAAAAGGAACTCAGAAAAAGGACCATCATGAAGATGTAGAAAAAATGTTGGCTTGCCAAATGTTCAACCCCTTTTTTCCTGCAACATTCTTTGATATTAAAGTCCACTATTTCAATGAACAGTGCTAAGAAATTCATGAAAGTTGGATACTGGTTTTCTAAGGATGAGGCAAAAATCAGTAGAGAACAGGAAGACTTCCAGTGTCAATGAAAAAAGCCCAACAAAGTTTTCAAGAAGGGCGACAATGAGACTTGCATCATTATCTAATCCAACCTATTTTTCTTCCTACATTAAACTTCATAGAAATAAATTTCATCTCTCTCTGAATCCAATAACTAGCTTTCTTGTAGAACAAGTGTCAAATTTCAGCATTAGATGTACTGTACAAACAAATAAACTTTGTTGCAAGTACCACTGTAGAATGTGGGATAATTCCAGAGGAGAATCCCAGTTGACAGCTGAAAATCTTGTAACTTCATTAAAATATCACCAAGTCAAGAAAACTCACAATCGTTTTGTAGTACCTTTGATTTGAAACAAGTAAAAACTGTTACGCTGACAATCGGTTATTGTCGTATGTCATAATATCTGTCTTATGAGTGACGCTTAGGGTTAATACGCGAATAAGCGTTAAAAAAAGGATGTAGGTCTACTGAACCTATCAGAGTACAGATCATCTTTTGACATGGTGTGGAAATAAAATAGAAATCTCAGTATCCACCAGCTTCTTTCCAAAGCAGAAAGTTCATTCACGATCGGAATCAATTCATTTCGACAAGAACAAGAAAAAAAAAGGTTCAAAGAAAATTTAGGATTTCATCAAGCGAGGGTCGATCAGCTCACTCCAATGGTGCTCACAAATCTCAATGCCCACACCATTTTCAATCAGGTTCTCTTTATCCGCAACTCCTGGGTTCACAACGACCTGCAGAACCACTAACCCCGACGATTCGTTGTATTCAACCACATCAGCCTCCTTGTAATTCGAGATTTCTGGCGTCATCAATTCTGACATTTCCAGTTTCTGAAAAGCATAGTAAAAGCAACGAATGAAATATTGCAACAGAATGCTTGAACATTCAAGAGAATACCAGAGTTTCCTCGGAATCTCGAACGATTTTTAGTCTCACATAAAAGCCAAATACAGTAGTTTTAATGCAGAGGGAAAAAATAAGTCTAACCTCAGCTTTCTACATGAGTACAGTACTGCTGTACCAAGTTGAAGCATCTTTTGCACGCTTTTCTTAATATGAAACCATTTTCAACATAAATTCTCATATCAAAAATTTTCAACACAAAATGAGATTTTTTTCCGGATATTCACAAGTAAAAGAAGTACCAAGCAACTGCACAGCCTTCAGACGGACTCCATGTAGGGTAAAAAATTGAATACAGTACTGTATTTACTCAAGTACCACGCGCCCTTGAGTAAGGCACGCAGAGGGGGTTTTTCAGTTGGAAATTTTGCTAAAATCTTATTCCCAAGTAAGACATGCACCCCACTTTTTAGTGAATCTAAAACCACAACATTTTTACAAATAAAAACAAAAAAATTGGCTTTAGGCATGAATTGAACAAAAATATCAATTTTCAACTTTTTCAGAACAAAAAGATTTTCTTGTTACATTTGCTCCAAATTTCTCCATTATAATCAAGTATAATGCACACATAACTTCCTAAAACTTCTTCAAAATTTTGTACCTGTTTAGGGCACATCCCTTTTTTTTCCTGAAATTCGGGAAAAAAAGGTGCGCGTGGTACTTGAGTAAATACGGGTACTTCAAAATGATAAAAACACATTTTGTTCAACCCGAGCAGCACCCCGGGTATTTCAGAATATCAAATCTTTGAATACCGTAACTCAATTTATTATCTTCGTGGTCATTTTGTGAACGCCACCACATTCGTCATTTCCCCATTAATACTAAAATAATTCATCCGGTCTGGGCCCAATGTAGCATCAGGAAAATAAAAACTCTCTCGGCTTAATTTTGTTTCGATATCCAAGCTAATAATCTCGGGAAATTTTGTGCTTCAACCCTGAAGCGGTGCGGATGAAACTATTAAAACGGGACAAAAAATTTCGGTCAAGGAAAATCGTAGCTATTGAAATTTTTTCTTAATTCGATGCTTCGTTGAAGGAAGTTTTGGCTTGTACAGTTTTGTGCCACACTTGAAAAGAAAAAAAAAGCCATTCGGAAAATCTGATAGGACCCGAGAAAAACCGCATCGTGAATTATCTGATTTTGTTGTACTTGTACTGTACAACTGAAAGCACGATACTGTACTGAAATTTCCATTAAGAAAATGGTCTACTCTAGTCTAGTCTACCTTGAAGGCGATGCGATCCCCAGATTTCGGAAACTTGGACAACATTTTCATCGCAGGATAAGAAGCATAATCTGCTTTGACTGCCACAGTTTCAATCTCCTCATATTCCCGAAGTGGTTCCGGCAAATCCGTAATTTCAGGTACTTCCTCAAGAACAACTGGAATTTTCGGTTCCTCAGGGCGTTCCACTGGAGCAACGAAGAACTTGGACTTATTGGTCTGTGGCTCGGACAGATGCACAGCTTTTAAAGCAACTTCCTTCGCATCAGGAATGACGGGGGCTGAGGAATTCTTTGACAAAGCCCAACCAGAAGGTACCGACAAACGCAACTGACGCGGCATCAAACGGATCGGGGTACTCGAAGCACTTGGTGTTCGAGAAGTCGAGAACGTTGGGGTAGGAAAGCGAGAACCTGATACGTTTTCAACCGATGTCATTGAATTCCCACCGAAACCCCCGGCGACAGAGCTTTCGGAAGAGCATTCATGCTCATTTTCAGCCTCAAATCGAACGTGCTTATTTCTGTGACCAGACGGAACAAAATTTGTTGATGCCATCCGCTTGTTCTTCTTCATTCGGTTCCATTCGTCTTTCGAAAGCCTTCAGATGTGAAATAATGAACGATATCAACGCTTTGATAATAAAAGTATTGGTTAGTTACTGCGTGAAAATTAAGATTGAATGGAGAACTCAGGTATAAACAAAGGATTAGTCATTCATGAATCAGACATTAGCATGTATAGTTAATACAGTAGTAGTAAAATCCGACTTGCCCAGAAAGAATTTTGTCGTGTATATAGATACGTACGAACATACATTTTTTCCGCAGATAAACTCGACCAAAATCGAGGTAACACCGATACTAGCGTATAAATACGGCAAGTGTACCACAAAGAATGGCGAAATACGGGCACAAACCTCGAAGTTGATGCTGAATCTCGATCGCTGGACAAATTTATCGTTCCATTTATCTCAGAAGCAGGTTTCACTTCAGGAACTACTACATCTTGCTTTCCTTTCCCGCGGCGGCCTCTTTTCCGATTACGCTTCTTTTCAACAATCGGATTTGAAGAATCGTCCGTCGTTTCCAATACCGAAACGTCCTCAATCTTGTTGAGAATTCTCAACAATGCGCCATCAGATTTCTCAGCTGGAATCACCGGCAGTTTCATAGGTGGCTTCGGTGGTTCGTCTTCACTCTCTGACGATGATTCGGTTTCGCTTTCTGCATCACTGATATCTAAAATCATCGGAGTTGAAGATGCATTCACGCGTGAGCTTCCTAGGGAGGCATCACCAGGGCTCAAAATGGAAACGGATTTCGGCTTCTTCAGAATGCTGCGTCTGCCTGAACTTTCTTCTGAGCCAGACGTTTTGTCGTGAGAACACGGCTCACTATCGGTGCACCTTCATTCAAAATTAGATACAGTATCATTAAACCAACATGAAAAAATCAAGAAGGAAATGCTGATCTCAAACTAATTCACTCACTTGATCGTGACGACATCATCGTGTTCGAAAATAGTGATGCTCTCCTCGAAGTCCACCCCATAGTCGTTCAAATAGAGGAATATCTTCGAAGGAATAGAAAACTTCGAACGAATCACTTCTGCAAGCGCAGCTACATTCGGGGTTTTCAGGGTTTCAACTAAAAACACTTTCCTGATAACAAGTTCAGTATCGTTTTCCCCGTCGTTGTTTCCGGGCTTTTGGTAGTCGAACCACAATCGCATTTTGAAACTGCACTACGCGAAAGTCTGCAGGTGGAATTCGCTCAAAAGTACCTAAATCATATCAGGGAATCGCAGTAGCTTCAAATCCTACAAAAGAAGTGAAACCAATGGTGAGGTGCTACAGTATGTACACTTACTTGATCGCATCGAAGCCGCGCGAGTTCCATGATCGACTTTTTGAAGTGGTAATACTGTATCGCCAAAAAAATAATACTGTAATCTGACATCACATGCGAATGGAATTCACCCGCACTCACAAAACGCGCGCCCCACTGTACATTATGAGAGACACCGGTGTACGAGACCTGAGCTCTTTGTCTTTTAACAACGGGAATGTTCGAATTTATCTCATGGTTCTCTGCATAATAAGCACAGGAAAAGATGTTCCAGAGTTCCTGCTCGACTAGGCGGAAGTGAATGTTGGTGGTCGAGTTTGTGGTTCACAGGATTGGAATTTGGGGATGATTCCAGTGATGTTGGTGTGGAAAAATTTGCCCTAACGCAAGGGGTGGGCATTTTTCCCAGCACGTGTGAGACATGCGAGTGATGCATTGTTCAGCAGTCCTTGCTTTTCTGATCTGACCAGACATTGGATCATTTTCAACCGTGCAGGAAAAATCGTCGAAATCGAATGCCACCCATCATAAAATATCTTGAAGCATTCTGTGTGCAGTAATTATTTCAGTGTATTCGTGGTTGTCCCGAGACCTAGTGCGTGGATTAAAAAACTTTCGAATTCGTTGAATTCAAAGATCCGATATATTCCCGTTTCCAAGATACAGTATTTTGTTCATAAGTTTTAATCACTACTTCCTTGTATCTATATTGTTTCTGTGATGAAGTTGAACAAGGTTTACAACTAATGGAGGATTGTGAAGCTCTGCAGCAGAATGCCACGCTGTGAATCTTCCTTATTGTTCGATTATCTTCTTCACCGTCGTGTCATTCTAGGTATACTATGTTTCGAACTAGGTGATGTTGGCTGCAAACCAGCCACATGATCATGACTTCAATGAGCTGAATCATGTGTCTCGTCACTCGTAGTGGGTGGTGATGGCGCTCTCAGACAGAAGTCAATGTGATGTCAGTGTTGATACGAGTGATTTAGACTTCCTGGATCCGTTGATTTCCACTAGCAGCGCCTCAAGCAAATACATATCGAGACCTTGCATGGACAACATAGGCTATCGTCGTTTCCAGTTGTTCCTCCTCGCGTGTTTTCTGTTTTCTTGTTCATTAATATTCGTTATCGTTGTTTATTGTGCTGAGGATCGATCGAGCACAATGTTCTGTCCCGTGGGATCATCAAATTCCATGTCCTGGAAAATCATCAACAGTGTTTCTGATAACGAGAAAATGGAGGATTTTCACGAGGATGAATATTATCACGGAGAAGATTTCAGTTTACGTACATCTGAGCCAAGATATAATCGTCTCGGATATCGCGACATTATGGAAGACGACTTCGAATTCGATATTAGCAAGAATGACGTAATGGTGTTTTTGCACATTCAGAAAACGGGGGGAACTACATTCGGAAAGCATCTAGTAGAGAACTTGTTGCTGGAGAAGCCTTGCGTCTGTCATCGTATGAAATTCAAAAAGAAAAAGAAGAAGAAGAAAAGGTGTGACTGCTATCGTCCGAACGGAAATGAGACGATATGGCTTTTCAGTCGGTACTCCACTGGTTGGCGTTGTGGATTGCATGCGGATTGGACGGAATTGAATCATTGTGTTGATCGGTATCTCGACGCGCGTGAGGGTCCCGCCAAAAGAAGGTAAATGTGAAAAATAGTTCAGTGCTATTCGAATTAAATGTTCGGCGCGAATTTTTTACTCTCGACTTCCTGCTCGACTAAACGCAAGAAATTTTGTCATCCGGTTGTTAGATAAACCCAACCCTTGGTTCATATTGAGACGAAAAAGGAATTGTGCAACGCATATTAGGAATTTATCTGTTTAGGATTACTACTGGATTTCTGTTGCTTGTACGGAGATAAAGGCTAGAGAAATCCGGCTGTAGCACACAACATTCCAGAGAAGCATGTACTTTCCCCAGCATGAAATATTTAGATACATGTTTTCGATATCAATTCCGTGAGTAGCTGTAATTGAAGATACATTTTAGCTGAAACTACTTCCGAAGTGCAAGAGGGAAATAATGAGTCAGTGAAATATTGCGAAGAAAAATATCCCGTGAGCGGAAGAAGTCAATTATCCCTTCTGGAATAAAATGATAATCCTGTTAATCGCAATAAATTAAATTCCGTTTGACAACCGTGGGATGGTTGCTCACGTGGTACGAATCACGCGTGATTTTTTAACCCGCTTTTTAGGTATATTTTGGTGATTTATTCCGCTTGTCAATAGAGAAACAAGATTTATAACTTTAAAAGGGTCGCGTTTTCTTACCGAAGAACTTGTGTTCCTGTGCGCGGATTATTTTTCTTTCTCATACATGCGAGTTTTATATTTTTTTTCATCCAGATATTTCTACACAACTTTACTGAGGGATCCCGTGAATCGTTATCTTTCGGAGTTTGCTCATGTTCGCCGTGGTGCAACGTGGCGGAATTCCGTCCATGCCTGTGGAGGAAGACCGGCTACTCGTTCAGAACTTCCGTCCTGCTACAGTGGCATTGATTGGAAAGGCGTCGAATTGGAAGAGTTCGTGAGTTGTGAACATAACCTTGCTGCTAACCGACAGACCAGGATGCTGGCTGACCTTGAGCTCGTCGGATGTTATAATAAAAGGTAAGTTGTGTTTATGGTTGCCCTTGAAGTGCTTATCAATTTCTCGACTGTATGACATGGAGTTTCCAGGAAGTAACATCGGAGTGAGACGTTTATTTATTTTTTCCTGTGTTAGCACCACCTTTTTACCGGGAGTAATTTTCGATTCCATCGGCTTCAGATATGTTTTTTCCATGAGCATCCAGTGCTATATTTTGTTGGATTAGCGCTCTAGAGTTGATGGGTTTCTGAATGGCATTAAAAAAAAACGGAATTACGACCAATTTTGTTCTCATGATCCTTACCTCGATTAATATCTTTGTCATCTTATTGAATTTAATACTTTCCTGCAATTCATCCAAGGCAAAGGGGGAAGATATGCACCTATCTGTTGCGCAATAATTGTAATGGAATCCTGTATTTACTCATCTAGTCTGCGTGAAATCCGGTTGAAAATTAAATTTCATTCGAAATCACCGTGAAGATTTTATAGGTGTTAAATTTGATATCCCTGATTTTTCGAAAATTCAAAATATTTATTTACTGTAGAATCTCGATATAACGGTTAATCGGTTTCAACGAATTCGTTATTCGGGTCCCTGCCCTATAGTCACATGGTATTCAAGTTTCTTTATAACGAATTTATTTTACTGGTCCCAATGTCTCTGTTGCAGTAGAATCTCGTTACAAAGAATCTCTGTATTTACCTGTATTTATCTCTGTATTTGCCAGCGAAATTATGTTCATAACGAATTTATTTTTCGGCCCTTGTTCATTTGCCACGATGTGATTTTAATTTTATTCAAACGAATTTTTTTTTATGACGAAGCTTTTTATGGTCTCAAACGTTTAGTTGTAACGAGGTTCTACCGTAATATTTCAAGAGTTTCCATCGTTCGTTCCTGAAACGCAGAGAAATCGCGGCGAAATTTGACAGGATAATTTCAAGAAAACTTACGTTTGGGAATTGGGAAATTTTTATCGTTCATCTTCCGGATTTTTATATGGTATTTATTGTTTTTGAACTCGTTCAGTACTATTCTTGTCATGGGTTTTGGTGCATATCGAGTCTCAGAACGGGATTTTTTAGTGGGAATCTCAAAAGATCAAGTTCTTAAAAGATTGAAATTTTCAAATACAGTACTGTATTTAGGGCGAAAAAGATAAGTTATAGAAAAGACGAGTCTCAAAAGGTTTTATGATCACTTTTGTGGATGGGATATTTTCGTACTTACTCTTGTTCTGGCAGATTTTTAGTGTCGTTCGTTCAAAACTGGCTTTTTTTTTCTGGTTCAGCCAGGATTTTCAGCGAATGTTTGGATATTTTTCAGCTACATGAAAGCCGAAAAGCGGGATCAAGTGATGCTCGCCAGCGCTAAGAAAAACTTGGAAAGCATGTCCTACTTCGGGCTAACGGAATTCCAGAAACTAAGTCAGTACGTTTTCGAGGAAACGTTCAACTTCCATTTTTCTGTCGGTTTCGAGCAATACGGCAACAGAAGCACTCATTCCGGAGAGGCCAGGAAATCCCTGTCGCCGGAAATGCTGCGCCAGATAAATCTGGTCAATTCACTCGACCTCGAGCTTTACGCTTTCGCCAAATCCAAATTTTTCGAACGTTTCGAGTGGCTCAAGAATCAAGATACGGAATTCGACAACCACTTGGAGCACTTGGGAGAAGGGTTTCAATCTTGACGCATCCTGTTCCTTTTGAACAGTTTTAAAGCTCCCCGTTTGCTTCTTTCGTCTTTCAGCAATATCTGAAATATTTTTCATGCTTCCCGTACTTCGATACAAAGTGGCATATCAGAAAGAATTGAAGAAAAAAGGGATTGGTGGTGGGGGGCGAACTTGGGGGGGGTTTTTTCGGGAGTTGCGTAAAGTGGCAGGTTCGGTAATTCGCGCTGTGAGACGGTATGTTTTTTTTGTTGTTGTGCGATTGTTGCGTCGTAATGATGAAAGCCATGTTCGCCGTGTGCAATGCAGACGAGACATTCCTGAACGGAGAGATGCTGTTGTGAAAAAAAAAGTTGCGGCTCGAGGTGTTCATTGGTCGAAGATTTTGTTTGTTTGTTCGTTTTTTTTTTGACTCACCGGCGAAGTGAAGTTTTATTCGGTGCTTTTTATTGAGACGAAAACTGGTTCAATTTAAGGACTATCATTTTTCACGTCGATGGTTGACCTTGGTTTCGAAGATTTCTTTTCGATTCGGATTTCCTCGTGGAAGCTGCCTCTGCTTACTTTTCGTATTTCTTTGACTTTTCACTCCCGCGGTCGTGATCAACTTGAAATCATACAAAGTTCATCTACTTGTTGCTAACCTCATCAAATTTTACAAATACAAGTGGACTCCCTCTGCAACAATATTCAGGGAACCAGAAAAATATTTTGATAATAATACTATTATAATTTAGCTTGGTGTTACCCAAGCTTTATGAGTCTCCGGTCCGGCGAATTTCCATAAAATTTTTTGCGGACCAGCAAATGAAAAAAAAAAATGTCTGTGGACCAGCGAAGTTCCATAAAAGTTTTGGAAACTCAAAAAGTTGTGTTTGAACAACTATAAGGCTGGTATTTAGAAAGTTTCTGCTTTTTTTGCAAAAATTAAGTCAAGAACCAATAAGGCAGCTATAGTCAAATGTCTTCAAAAACTAGAAAGGTGGGCTTGAAGACAGGTATCTCAGAATTTTAAAAAACGAAAAAATGTATTTAAGTGGATGACAATTTGTTTCAAGTGTTGGTAGGAGAAAAGTAAAGTTTTATTTTTCATCAGATAATTTCAACTGCCATTGTCTTTCCAAAATTTCACATGAAGATAACAGACTTCATTGCTACTTTTGATAAGATTATTATGCTCAAGGAAATTTTCTGTGGACCTGCGAAAAAATTCTGCAGACAGGCACCAATTTGTGGACCATGGTTTGGGTACCACTGAGTTAGCCTAATATTGACATCAATTAACAGGGTGAGGGTTAGTGAAAGGCACATGATCGTAAAAATGTGGCAGGGACAGCTTCATCAAGGAAGGAGTTTTGCATTCATTCCATGTTATTTTCGCGAAATTTGAGAATGTGAATTTTTTATTCTCGCAGGTTCACACGATCTTGTTCTTTGTGAAAGTAGTAGATTTTTTCTTGTCTTGTTCGTTTCTAGCAAAAAGAGAAAATGGTGAGTCAGAACTTCAAGCACGTTGATGAAATTGAGAAGTTAAACGTGTGTCGAATTCTTTTTTTTTCCAGGGGAATGAAACGTCGATGCCCATGGAGATGTGTTCCACCTGTAAGTCTGCCTTTCTTCATGAAATTTTCCTGATGTTGCTGATGATTTTTTGTTTGTTTCGGAAATCTTAGTTGACGCTGATGAAATCAGACGGCTTGGGAAACGCTTCCGAAAATTGGATTTAGACAACTCGGGTGCCTTGAGTGTAGAGGAGTTCATGTCGTTGCCAGAGCTGCAACAGAATCCGCTGGTGCAACGCGTGATTGACATATTTGACGCGGATGGCAACGGCGAGGTTGACTTTAAAGGTGAGTTGTTGATTTTTATTCAAGTACAGCTGGACCTTGATGACTCTTGTGATCAAGGATCATAAAAGAACATAAAAAAAAATACAGGAAGTCCGCCTTTTGAAGACCAAAAACACATAATCAAGGGGTTTCCTTGAATATATGTTCTTAGTTTTCAATCATTTATATTGTATTTACTTGAGTACCATGCACCCTCAAGTAAGGCGCACTCGGGGGTTTTTCAATTAGAAATTTTGCTAAAATCTTATTTCCAAGTAAGATGCGCACCCCAATTTTTAGTGAATCTGAAACCAGAAAATTTCGAAAATGAAAACAAGAAATTTGACTTTAGACATGAATTGAAAACAATCTGATCAATTTTCAACTTTTTCAGTACAAACAAGTTACATTTGTTCCAAATTTCTCCATTATACGTGAGTGTAATGGACACATAACTTCCTAAAATAAAAAAAAGAATTTGTACCTGCTTATGATGCGCACCCCTTTTTTCTTCTGAAATTTGAGGAAAAAAAGTGTGCATGGTACTCGAGTGAATACAGCATTAACAGTTTCAGCAGAGTTGAATAGATTGAATATCTAAGAACAAGCCCAAGCATTGCACAAAACAGATTTGAAAAACACAATTTGATAACACACAGGAGTAACACAGATTCATGCACACAAATCATTTAAAAGGATGAGATTCATAAGAAGATGATTGTCCAAGAGTTCAGGACAGACTGACTCGTGAAATTTGAAATATAATTTGCTTTCTGCATCATCAGCTGATGCAGGAGGAAACCTTCATCAGTTTACTCTCTGTTTTCTCCTCAACAACTCTGACCTCCCTACCTCAAATTTAAT